AGGCTTTAGCAGAGTACCGTTTAGGACACAACAGTTTCACAAGGAGACAAGAAATGAGGAGCTGGAAGATGTGGACGGCTGAGCAAGGACTGTAGGCCCACAGGGCAGTGGGATGTTGTGGAGTTTGTAAACCCTGGCTTCCCACTTTCCCCAGTGCCTGGTGTCTGATCCTTAACGGAAGGGGTTGAGGCTTCTGGACTGCCTTGAACATACCTGCACGGATGTTCCTGCTTTTGGTCAGAAAGGTCTACCTTGAGTGGCTAACTGAGTCACCTGCTATTGTTCCTGGATGTACCCCTTGACCCTATGCATCTGGTGCTTGCCAAACAAGCCTTCATCCAAGATGTTCTGTTTGACACTCCCTGGCTTCATTAGGGAAGAGCAGTGGATCTTCTGTGCATCTGGGTGATTCTGCAGATGTTCATCTGTGTTCAGGTTCTGTGACCCTGAAGGTGAGCTCTTCCTTTTTGGAGCTCATTGTGGAGCTTTGTGGACAGAAGTCTAATGAGTATTTGCTAAATGAATGAAGATCGGGGCAAGGGAAGCAACCAACCCATCTCATTCACCACATCTCTCTACTTGGAGCTGGTCAGACAAATTTAAGAGGTAGCCCCCTTATACAGCGAAGAGTTTAACCAAAGGCTCCAGCATTGGCTGGGTGTGGTGGTTCATTCCTATAATCCCAACACTTCGTGAGGCCAAGGCAGCAGGATCACTTGAGGCCAGAAGTTTAAGACCAGCTTGAACAACATAGTGAGACCCTGTCTGTATAAAAGATAAAAAAAAATTAGCCAGGTGTGATGGCACATAGTCTAGTTACAGGGAGGCTGAGGCAGGAGGATATCATGAGCCCAAGAGTGAGGCTGCAGTGAGATATGACCATGCCACTGTACTGGGTGACAGACCACCAACACACACACACACACACACACACACACACACACACCAACACACACACACACACACACACACACGCTCCAGAATTAATTGCAAACCATATGCAGCAGCAGTCACCCTTGGATCTGACCTACAGGGCTAGGATATTCACAGACACAGGAGAGACTTCAACAGTAAGCCATGACCAGGTGGTGCTGGGGCAATGCATAATCAGTACGGCACTGAATAAAAGCCTCCCCTGATTCTCTTACTGAACAACTAGTAGTAACTAAGAAAGAACTACATTTGAATACTCTTGTTCCCTCCCTATCTCCAAATACATGGCCATGTGCTGGGAATAGGGGACATATCACACAGCCTTAGCAGAGACTCACATTTCTCCTCGACCCCTGACCCCTTCGATATTTTCCCTCAAAGCCCTCCCACCTGAGACATCTTTCAGGCCCTGTGAAGGCAGATAACGAGCTGGTGGCTCTGGCAACAAAGGGCCGAGAAAAGAGGTTATAGTGTCCACTCTGTGACCAGGCTACTGGTGTAGTGAGGTGCATGAGATCAGTGGGCCAAGAGTGCTGTCCAAGGAAGCCTTGCCTCTCATCCTCACCCCTATCAGGGGTCCAGCAGTGTAGAGGAGGTAAAAGGGTTCAGGCTGCAGGACGCTAGTTTTGTCCTTTCTCATTCTTTGCCTAGGAAGCGTGGCATGGAGTTGAGCCTGTGCCCTCCCCCACTGTGCCCAGGAGGGTCTCTTTTCTTGGAGTACACTGACAGCCCCTGCTTATTCCTCCTCCCTGGCTCTGCCTACAGCACCATTCTCCATGTTCTGCAGGTTAGTGGGTCAGAAGGGAGAAGGTGAGATACTGTAGGGGAACAGCTGAAGGTGTTCTCTGAGCCAAGGCCAGACTAAGTCAATAGGCATCTGTCCCATGGGCCGAGATGTGCAAAGCATGTATGCAAAGCCTTGGGCCTGGAGGTTGCCTTGCTGCCTGTGGCTGGGGTTTCCCCACCTCCACAGGTACTTCTGGAAGTCCTGCTGCTGGCCCAAGAGCCGCAGAGGCTCAATGGCACCATACCTGCAAAGCCTGCCTCCTCCAGCAGGGTGTGTCCACTTGGTTTGATGAGTGCTTCAGATGGGCCCTGAAGGAACTGGAGACCACTCACCTCCAGAGGCTGGTGGATGGACAGTTCTGGGCTCTGGCTGCAACCTGTCCTTTGTTCTAGAACTTGGGGATAAGTGGTAATCTATGTTCTTCTCTACAGGAACCAATGCCTGGAAGCCTAACCCAATTCCAGCTGGCCAAGGAGAAACTATTTCAGCTGGTCCCCAGGCCACAGCCAGATCTTGAGATCCGACCATGCCAGCCCTGTGCCACATGTATTTGGAATACAGGATAATCATCAGTGAGCACGATGCTGTGCTCAGGTGGGAGTAGGGTGAGGGTGGGAAGCAGCGCCAGGCTGTGAGCCACAATGCTTTCCTGTCTCTGCAGAATGAACCAGGCTCCGCCTCTGGGCTTTGAGAATGATGTTGGTAATCAAATCTCCCTGCACTTAACACACCCAGAATGCAGATGAACACCCATGTGCAGGAATAAGCAGGGGTGTCACTGGAGACTCCAGACCTCGAAGGCGCCAGTGTTGACTGCAATGGTTTCTTCAGGCAGTTTGACTGATGGAGGCCCCAGGACTGGCACAGACAGACCTTGGCATATTGGGGTAAATGTTAATCTTGCCCTCCCTCTGAGGTCTGTAACCGTATACCCCCCACTCTCCTCCCCCCAACATATATGATCAGCTACTCCTTCTCTAGTGGATAAATTTGTGCCAGGCCACTCCTACAAGGTGCTGGCAGTCCCATGTGGGGAAGCAGGGGAGCAAAGTGATCGGGTTGTGAGCTGATGATCACTGCTTTAACACACTAAGCATGGAGGCTCACAGAGAGATTAGGGGACAGTACCCACCAGACCTAGGTACTCCCTGGGATAAAGAACATTGCCCAGGCTCTGATTCCACTTTTTGGCCTGTACCAGCTTCTATCAAAGTGGACAAAGAGAAGATGAGGAGAGGGAAGTTTTGTGAAAGGAGACCACCTCTGTGGCTGAGCTCTGACACTCTTCCCCCTGATTCTGGTGATCAACCCACCTCGCTCAAGTACATCCATGAGAACGGGCTGTATGGTCAGGGACATTTCTTATCTGCTGGAGTCACCACTCTGGTGACAGATAAGAAAATTAACTGTGGTCTCATGCCCTTAGACAAGGTCGGATCCTGACTGGGTGACCCACATTCATTCCTTCATGCTTCTCCACTCTAGGTCTCTCTTTGGGTTTAAAGCTGATGAAAGAGCACCAGCACCATTACTGGTGGAACTCTCCGTGGAGGTGATCCTACTGTGAGTCAAGGAAAGACTACTTTAGAAAGATGGAGAAGAAAATCGTCACTAAGCTAGGGTGTGATGGCAAAAGCATGGTCTACACTTGAACTAAAGGCCAACTCTGCTCAGAATATCTGGTGGGAAGGGGAGACCTGAGGCTGAGGTCTGTAATGGAGTTTGGGGGCTCTTGAGGATCAGATGGGCAGGGAAGAGCAGAGATGAGTTTAGTATGGGATAAAGGCTCTGCCTGGCAGCCTCTGGAATGTCTCTCACCTGTTGGAATCGCTCCCCTGACTCCCAGAAGTTATGTGGGGCTTGAGGCCTTGGAGTATGACCTACAGATAATGGTGCTGAAAAGAAACTCCAAGGTTAAAAGAAAAAGAAAAAACCCTCTCAGGAGAATCACTTGAGCCAGGAGTTTGAAGCTGCAGTGAGCTATGAATGCACCACTGCACTCCAGCCTGGGCGACACAGCAAGATCCTGTTTGTAAACCAACCAACCAACCAACCAACCAACAAGGTCCCTCTGGAGCCTCTGAGTCAGAGAACCAGAATTGGAGAATGTAAAAAGTGAGCAACCAAGAGATGTCTTGCTTGTACCTACAAACAACCAGCACAGAAAAGGCCTAAAGGCCAGGTAAAAGTTTTGAGCCACAGGGAATTTGCCTGGAGGTGGGGATCAGGCCAGTGTCTCTGGGGCCTCAGCTCCATTTCTGAGGGTTCTGAAGTGCAAGTTTTACTAAGCACCTATTGCTGAACGGCACATTAGGTTTTTGGAACAAAGCTCTGGCTGCTGTGAAAGGCCTCATGCCCACATGGGAGCTTTGTGTAAGGTGGAATACAATGGAACAGAGCCTCGAATCAGTAGGTCCGGATGAGTGGCTGCTGCTCTCAAACCCCTACATTCTTAGTTAGGCCTTAGTTCTATCCCCAGGCTTAGGGAAGGAAGAGGAATTTCAGATTATGGTTCCAGAAGAAGGTCATGACCTGCTTCTTTAAAGAAAACTGTTATTAGGCTTTGAGACAGTTGCCAACAATAGGTCTTCAGCCTGTGAGCTGGGTTTAGTCCAGATTGCTTCCACCAGGGCCAGTCCATAAATGACAAGTTCTGCCACAGTCCATCCTCCCAACTAGCCTGACATGTGGTTGGACTATGGGGGACCAGTCAGTTCCATCTGGTATGTTTAGGAAGGAATATTCAAGGGCATTCACCCAGGGAAGAATGGGGCCAGATGGATCTTTTGAGGCTTTGACTTCAGTCAAAAGGTCAACTCAGTATTTTGGAGGCTCCAGAACTTCAGTCGAGAACATTCAAGGTTCTTACTGTCCATGAGTTAGAACTAGAAGCCCTCAATCATCTGTCCCCACCTTAACCCCCTGCCACAGCCAGACTAGTCTTCTTACTGTGTGCTTAGCAACACCCTGACAATATTCCCTCCTTCAAGTGTTGGCTCCTGTTTCCCTTTCTTTGCCCATGGAATCACTACAGCTGTTCCAGTTGGTGCACAAAATTGTCTCTAACTCATCAATGAGTGTTATTCTGTTCTTATCAGTTGGACATAGCTCTCTAGGGGCTTTGTCTTGTGTACCTTCTGTAACCCTTCCCCATCACAGTGCATGGCACACAACAAACTCATGCCACCTGATGGGAATCTTTTGCAAATTCAGTCTTAGTAAACTCCCTTGATGTGCTGCTGCTCCCCAGCTGCACAAGTGGAGACAGCAGCAGAGAACTAATGTACAGATCCAGGGTTTATTGTTGAAGAGGAAGTTAAAGGAGAAGGTGAAGTGCCAGGAAAATAAGTTCTAGACGAGAGGCAGAAGATGCTCCTTGGCCAGGGCAAGGCACTTCTCTGGGTGACTGTAGGCAAGCAGGCAAACGTGACTTGCCTCGTTCCCAGGTGAGTTGGGCCCTTCCCAGCCCTGCAGGTTTCCCTCCTCTTCCTGGGAACGCCAGCTGACCTGGAGCTCCCAATGGGTAACAGAGCCAGGTCTTTCCTTTGGCAAACCTGAAGTTGTGCTGAGGGGCCATGATCTGCTCTACAGTCACCCGTCTGTCTGTGTGCTCCCAGGCTGGCCTGGACTTGCCCAAGCTGTGGCTGCTACCTGGAGGTGTCTTGGGCAGTGCTGGGGCCAGGATGTAGAACCGGCCCTGGGGATGTCAGACTTTGAGTCAAGGATTCATCCAGCTTGCGGGTTTCAGCCTCTAGAACAGTGGCCTCTGGGGCCTGGGCCACAGTAAGAAGTGAGTGCGAGAGGCTGTGGTGCAGGCCTGCTAGCTCACGGCTGGTCTGTACTGAGCGGGCGATGTAGTCTTGCTTCTGCTTCCGCTCCAAGGCCAGCTGGGCTCGCAGCAGGGCCACCTGGTGGGCAGGAAACCAAAGGGAGAGCAGCTGAGGGCCCTGAGGCAGTCTCAACTTCTGCTCTGTGTTCCTGAGCTCTCATCAGTCCCATATTTGAATCAGCTCTACCACACACATGAAACTCAGAATCAGATTTCAGAGTGTTTGGGGGAAGGGTCCTAGGAATCAGAGAATCCAATGATTCTCAACCCTGGCTGCACATGTGACTCAAACTCAAACAACAAAGCTATTCATCAATTTTACTGAAGGATAATTTACATGTGAAAAACTGCGCAGATTTTTTTTTTTGAGTTGGAGTCTCACTCTGTTGCCTAGGCTGGAGTGCAGTGGCAAGCTCACAGCCACTGCAGCCTCAACCTGCTGGGCTCAGGCAACCCTTCCACCTCAGCCTTCTAAGTAGCTGGAACTATAGGCATGTGCCACATGCCCAGCTAATTTTTCTTGATTGTAGAGATGAGGTCTTGCCAAGTTGTCCAGGCTGGTCTTGAACCCATAGGCTCAGACAATCCTCTCATCTCGGCCTCCCAAAGTGGCTGGTCAGATTTTAAGTGTACTTTTTTTCTTTTTGAATTGGAGTCTCACTCTGTCACCCAGGCTGGAGTGCAGTGGCACGTTGCTCATGGCCACTGCAGCCTCGACCTACTAGGTTCAGGCGATTCTTCTGCCTCAATCTTCCAAGTAGTTGAAACAACAGGTGCACGCCACCATACCTGGCTAATTTTTGTGATTTATTGTATAAACGAGGTCTCACCAAGTTGCCCAGGCTGGTCTTGAACCCCGGGGCTCAGGCAATTCTCTCACCTCGGCCTCCCAAAGTGCTGGGATTACAGGCTGAGTTACCACGCCCAGTCTTGAGTGTACATCTTGATGAGTTTCATAACCATGCATAACCCCGTATCCCAACCAAGATACAGACCGTTTTAATCACTATAGAGAGTTCCATCATGCTCCTTTTGGAAGGTTTTTAAAAACTTCTGACTTAATTAGAGTGGGGTGAGGCCTGGGGTATCAGTATTTTTTCAAAGCTTCCCAGGTGGTTTTAATGTGCAGCCAGGGTTGAGAATCACCAACTAATCCTTCCATTCTTCACACAGGTATACTAGACAACCAGGAGATGAAGTACTGGGATCTTAGGGCAGGTCAAGGACTAGAATGAGGCGATGGTTGCCTGGGATGCAACATTTAAAGAGGCACTCTGGGTAGAGAATGAGTGCCTCTTTTAATTCTACACCAAAGGGGCCTTTCTTGCCTCACCCTCATCAGGCCCTGCTTCAGGATTGCTTTGTATGAGTTTAACAAAATTCAAAGTAATAGCTCAGGTCTAGCTAGAGTCAGGCCCTGTCAGTAATGAGTACTGACTTCAGAAATATGTTCAGAAATCAAAATTCCATACTTCTTAATACTGCTGGAACAGTGGATTTTTTAGGTGACGCCTAGGAGGCAAGAAGGCACTTCATATCATTTCTCTGCATGTGGCAGCTTGACCTGAGCTATGAGGCCTGAATCATGTGCCATGCCAAGCTCCTCTGCCTGGTGTGCTGACAACAGTCCTGCCCACAAGAAGGACATCTGAGGGCGGGAGGCCAGGACAGTTCTGCTTGCCCCAGTCCGTCCTCCTTAAATCAGATGCCTAATCCTCAGTCCTCCCCTCAATCTGGAGGTTTGGAGCCTGGATCATCCCCACTCCCATCGTAAGTATACAACAGAGGGAGTTGAGACTGGGGCTCTCTTGCCTCCCATGGAGATGGAAGTTCTCTGAAAGCAGGAACTCCCCCTCTTCCTGCTGGAGGTACATAAAGGGCCGAGCACATAACAGACAGTAAGGCCTTGTTGCCCGAGTACATGAAAGAAAATAGGGCTTAGAAAATGGATCCTTACAGAACACACCTCTTTCTGCAGTTCAACCACATATTTGGCATCTGAGAAGCTCTTCTGGTTTTCTCTTCCATCCTAAAGGAAAAAAGCAGCATTCTTGTTGGAATAGGCCTTTTCACTGTGAGGTTTCTCATCACAATCCTGGGGGCCTGACAAGGGGTGTGAACCAGAAGCGCCTGAACTCAGACTGAACCCCTGTGGAGCACCATGCCCTGGGGCAGGGAGAGGCCCCACACCAGTATAATGGCCATATCCATGGAGACCGGATGCTGAACATCCAAAAGGCTTGGATGGCATTTGCTTCTTTGAGTTTTTTTATTTAACAAAAGTACACCATATATCTGCTTTGTGCTAACCTGGGCTGTGAGCTAAGGATGGAGGGAGGAAGTAATACACAGCACCTACCCTTGGGAGCTTTCACTGAAGAATGGAGAAAGCTAGTGCTCAGCCACTATGCACAGCTGCTCCCTACCTGCACAAGACTGTGTCTGCGGACGAGCACACCTCAGCTAAGAGTGCCAGCTTGGGAGTCTTCCCCAACCCCTTACCCCCCAAAAAGAACTCTGGCTCCAGGAAAGGCCGCGAACCCTAATTTTGTGAAATCAGTCCTGCAAGGAGCAAGGATATCTAAGAGATCTGCAAAGATGTGATCAGGCTCCTAGGTATGTCATGGGCTGGCAGGCACCACACATACCCATATACCAGGGATCTTGACCAGGTAAGCCTGGGGCACTGGTCTGGAAGCAAGCAGATCCAAGCTCCTCAGAAGGCAGGGGTGCTAGCTTTGATGCCTCCCACAGCCTCTAATGTTAGGCCTCCTTCTCAGGGCAGGGACAGAATAAGCTGTACTGAGCAGGCAGAACCTAGTCAGGAGGGGATCTCAGATTGGGTGAAGCCTCTACCCTACCCCCCCATCCAAGGGAGGCCTGGGGTATGCAGTGAGAAGGGTTGAGTTTCTGGCAGGCTCAGGGATCAGAAAGCAGCAGCTGAGGAAAATAGGTAAACCTGCTGTTTGGGTGCTGAGGCTGTGGCCTCGCTCAGCTCCAGGGCCCCTGTTTGGGATGCACGCATGGAATCCCTCTTCAGCTTCCTCCGCTCTCGCTCCACCTGCCAAGGTGCGGGTAAGAAATCAGGGCTTGGCTCAGCTCTGGGGCTGGAGCACAGCCGCCTTCCTCCAGAGGGGGGCCAGTGTGTGTGCAAGGGGAGAGCAGCCATGAGAGGAGAACTCCTGGGCTGAGGAGAGCACATGCAAGGGCAATCCTGAGCACAAGGAGGTGCTACTGGGGCAGAAGAGGCAGGATTGGCCTCTTAGGCCTTTGGAGCAAAGGCCTTTCTGTGGGCCATTTTACCTGTCACAATCATTCAAGTTGACTGTTGTAGCAAGGGAAGCATCCATAGACATGCATAGCTGTGCTCTAATCAAACTTAATTTTCAGAACAGGCAGCAGCCAGATTTGGTCACAGGTTGCCGTTTACTGACCCCTGCTCTGGGGACTACATGTGAAGTAGAAATGCATGCCCACCAGACCCCAGAGGAGGGAGCTGAGGACAGCAGAAGCTACTTACCTGCTCCAAAGCAGTCCTCAGTTGGACATTGTGGCACTGCAGCCTGCTCCGGTCAATTTCTAGCCACGCCACTGCTTGCTGCAGATGTTCAAGCCTTTGTTTCCATGGCTGTTTCTCTTCCATTCCAGGACTAGACTCAGCCTCCACTCCTGAGGCCTATGGGAAAGACCTGTGAATCTTACCTTGACAGCCCCTTGAACAGGTCAGGGAACAGGCAGCGGGAAAAGGCACCAATCTGGCTCAGAAACCCAATTCCCACAGGAAGGGGTCAAGCCCCCAACACACCCTCCCCCCGGGTCTCTTGCTCACCTCTCCCAGCTGCACAGTCTGCTCTCCTCCGGACCCCTGTTCTGCCCTGATGGTTGTGCCTGGGCAGTGTAGCCGCTCTTTCTCCAGCACCTGTCTGGTGAGCTCCAGCTCACCCTGGGGTACCAAGGTATAGGGCAAAAATCACACCAGACCCACTCACCCTCTGTCCTCAGAAACACCAGTGTGCTCTTCTCCTCAGGTTATAGTCTTATTTTGCCTGCAGCCTCTGAGCCATTCTAGTCTAGAACCTTCATTTTACAGAAGAATAAAACAAAGGAGCAGAGAGGGATCTACTCAAGGCTACATGGAAATTCACAAGTGATCTAGGACCAGAGCCCCCATCTCATTTGAGAGGAGCACTGATGTGTCGTAGAAACAGCACAGAATCTGGAGTCACACAGGGCTGGGTGTCATGTTATCACTTATTGGCTATGTGACTCTGGTCAAATATGAGCTCTCCCCAAGCCCTGATTACTTCATTTATAAAATGACTATACAAGTCATGCATATGCCCTTGAGGTTAAATCCCTTAGATAAGTGAGGAGTTCTAACACTAGATACTTTCTAGGCACCTTATGTTTCATAAACAATAATGGCCAAGAAGAGAGACAGATAAGAGAAAATGAATGAACGTTTGTAGGTGCAGGTTGTCTGGGAGAAAGGAAGAGTCACGTGGCAGAAAGCCTGAACTCTAGATGCAGACTACTCAGATCTAATTCTAGTTCTGCTATGTGGCTTTGGACAAGTTACTTAACCTCTCTGAATAGCCATTCTTCAATTATAAAATGAGGAAAATAAACAGTTCCCACTTTTCAGGGTAGTTGTGGAAGGAAGTGAGAGTAACAGTGCCTGGCATGTAAAATGTTAAAATAAAAAATGGTGCCACTTCAATGAAAAGGCTGCATGTGAAAGACGTTCCTGAGTGTGTAGAGAAGGGAATGGTGACGTGACCCTGACCCGAGCTACATTACTAAGGAAATACTGCTTGGTGACCCAAGTATATAGGTAGAAAGTGCCCCCCTGCCCAACTATATGCCTCACTTTTGCTGTACCTGCAAGAATGGATCTGAAAATAGGAAAAGAGTTCTATTTAATGAGTGCTTTCTTCCTAGGCACTTCATACATATCATCTCATTGCATACTATCATTGCCTATTTTAGTGGTAAGAAATTGAGGGTCAGAGGAATGAAGGTCACATAGCTGATAAACTGTAGAACCATATTTCAAACTCAAGAATTTGACTCTAGGGTTCATAAATGTACCTTCTTCTCTTCATATTGCCCTTTAATAAGAGTAGAGCTTTGTGAGTTCCCAGAAAGCAACTCTCTGGGGTACTGTATGTCTGGGATGAGGGAGGAGGTTTCTCTGGGGCTTAGTCAGGGACCAAGATGTAGAGCCAATTTTCCTGGAAAAGTGGACTGTGTTTCTCCTGGCATAAGAAACAATGCCTCTCTAAGTCTACAAATTAACCTAACTTTCCTGTTTGCCTACTCAATACAGGCCTTGTGCTGGAGCAGGGGGTACAAAGATGACTAAGACACGGTACTTGTCCTTGAGGTTAACTACTATACCCTAAAGTCCTATTCTAAACCCCCTTCCTTTCTCACTGGACATTCTACCCACAGGAGCCCCCTTATTCCTAACTGCTGATGACTCCAAAGTACCTTTAGTTCCAACCTCATCCTTCAACTTGACCACCACACTGATCTGCCTACTGGACATGTTCCCTTGCAGGGGCCATGGGTAACTCTTTCCATTTCCAAACTGAACTCACCATTCCACTCCTCTTTCTCACACCCGCTTTTCTTCATCTCAGTGAACAGACCTGAGTATTGTCTTTGACTTCTTTCTGCCCTTATTCCTCCCACCTCATAGCCAATCAACTGCCAGAAGTCCTATGAACTTCTGAGATCTATCCACGTGTCTTTATTCACACTTACTGTCTCGGGTCACCACCTTTTCCCGGACTTCTAGTATAGCCTCCCAGTTGATTTCCCCAGATCTTCTGTTGCTCCACACAGCAGCCTGAGTAACCTTTCTGAACTATATCTTTCATCATGCCACTTCCCTGCCCTAAACCCTTCATCTACTTCCCATTAGTGACCCAGGTCCTCAGCATAACTTATAAGCCCTGAATGCTGAGGGCCCTGTTGTCCTATTGTCTCTTATCGATTCCTTCCTCTGTCCCAAGTGACCTGAGCTACCTATACAGATATGCCATTTGCTCTCAACTCCTTTTTCCTCTTCCCTGAAAGCTCCTCCCCAACCTGTGCTTGACTGATTCCTTGCTGGTCCCTTCAGATCAAATCTTAAACACCATTTTTACCAGCAATCCTTTCAGGACTCACCCCCAGGAAACGTCAGGCATCCCTCCAGCATGCTTGGAGCACACTGAACTTCCTCTGTTAGGCACTAATCACATTGCTTTATAGTTGCTTATCCACTAGACTGTGAGCTCTGTGAGAACAGGGACCGTGGGTGTCTTATCCTCTTTGTACCCCCCACACTAGCACAGTAGCCTAAATCCCACTGATGCTGAAGTGCTCATGATCTCAGCTTTCTCACACCCTCCCGAGGCACCACAAGACCCAGGATAACAGGCAGCCCCTGAGCTCAGCCAGGCAGTGCTCTGTCCCCAGTCCCTATTCCCCCTAGAGTGACTCACCTGCAGCCTCTGCTGTTCTGAGTCCCGCTCCAGGACAGAGGCTTGTAGGAACATGGCGACCTCCTGCAGACTGCTGACACTGGCCTTGCTCTGGGCCAAGGACAGTGCCAAGCCATGGGCCTTCTCCCGCCACTCAATCTCCCTGGCCTCTGTCTGCCTCAGGGCTGCCTGCAGCCGCTTCAGTTCCCTCTGCAGCCTGAGCCCTGAAGAACCTAATTCTGGAGATGATTCCTCCACCAGGGAGGCTGTGTGGCTACGGGGCAAAGCCTCCAGGCTACTCTGTTGCTGGGCTTCCCTCAACTCCAGGATCTCCTTTTCCTTCTGGGCTAGAGTCAGCCGTAGCTCCCTTAGACTCTGGCGGAGGACCCTTGTCACTTCCTCTTCTTCCTCCTGTCCCAGATTCTGCTTCTCTTGGATCATATCCTCTTGGACCCTCTGGGTCAGAGACTTCTCCAGCAGCTGGCCCTGTTCCTTCTGATGTCTCAGCTCTTCATCCCTCTGGGCAAGTGCCTGCTGAAGCTGCTGCACATCCTCCTGGTAACGGAAATTCTGGTCCTGGATCTCACTATCTCGTATCCTCAGAGCCTCCTCCAGCTGCTGGGCATGTGCCTGGCAGGCATCCAGGGTGGTCTGCAGGGTAGCTGTGTTGGCCTCCAAACTGCGTCTCAATTCTGCCTGCCCAAGAAGTTGCTGCTCCTTCTCCTTCAAGACAGCCTGAGCCTTGCTGAGGGCCTCCTGCAGAGCCTCAGCCTGGCCCTGGGCAGCCTCCTTCTGATACTGGGAGGACCGGTTTTCTGCTCGCAGAGCCTCCAGCTCCCGGTCCCGTTCCTTGAGCATCGTCTTGGCCTGCAGCCAACTGTCCTGCAGGGCCCTGGCCTCCGCCTCATGCTCCTGTGCCTGCTCAGCACACTGTTGCTGGAGGGCCAGCAGAGCCTTCTCCTGCTCCCGAGACTCAGCCCTTAGGTCTCCCAACACCTCCTCCAGGGCCTGGACCTGCCGTCCCTCTGCTGCCAACTCTTCCTGGAGCCTTCGTACCTGTTCGATCTGGTCCTCAAGCTCTGCCTGCCGTTCCTTCAGTGTCGTCTGGGCTTGCTCCAAAGCTCCCTGCAAGGTGTCTGCCTTTTCCTTCACACTCTCCTCCTGCCCCTGCGCCTGCTGCTGTTCTTGCAGCAGGGTCTTGAGTTCCTGGTCCCTCTGGGCCAAGGCTCTCTGGGCCTCTTCTAGTTGGCCCTGAAGTGATTGCTCTTTCAGCTCCCCTTGCTCCCTGGCTTCCTGCAGGTGCTGCTGAAGGACCACTATCTCTTGCTCTTGCTGGGTTAGGAGCAGGCTGCTCTCACTCACCTTCCTGTGCAGGCCCTGGAGCTGCTGCTCCAGCTGGTCCTTGTGTGCCTGAAGTTCCTGGATATGCTCCTGCTGGCATTCCACCTCCTTCTCCTTATCACGCAGGATAAGCTTCATGTGCTCCAGGCTCCCGCGCTGCACTTTGCTCTGGCCCTTCCCCTCTTCTGCCCGCTCCTGCATCAGTTGCCTCTGAGAGACCAGCTCCCGTCCTCGTTCTCTCAAGGACAGCTTGATCTGTTCCAGGTCCTCCTCCAGGATCTTGGTCTGCAGAGTCCTCTGCTCTTCTAGAACCCGAATCCTCTCCTTCTGCAGCATCAGCTCCTGGCCCCTCCTCTCAAGATCCTGAGTCAGATGCTCTTTCTGCCTCTGGAGCTCCTCAATCAGCTCTTGCTGGGACTTGACCTCCTGGTTCTTCTCCTGCAGCTCCTTTGCCAGAAGGGTGCTGTGGCTCTCCAGTTCGTGGATCTGGCTGCTTTGCTCCTGCAGCTCCTGGCTCCTTTCTTCTAGGTCCAGTGTAAGGTGGGTCAGAGCCACCCTCTGCATTTCCCTCTGGCCTTCCAGTTCCTTAATCAGTTTTTGCTGGCACTCCATTTTGTGATGGTTTTCCTCCAGTTCCAGGGCCAGGCATTCCAGAGTAACCAACTGCTTTTGCAGATCCTGCACCTGTCCTCTCTGGGACTCAATCACTTGGTCCTTTTTCTCAAGTTCTAGAAGCTGATGCTCTAAGACGTTCCTCTGAGTCTCCCGATCCTTCTCAAGCTCTTTGATCTGCTCCCTCTGCACACTCAGCTTCTGCTCCCGCTCCTGGACAGCCATGGGCAGATGCTCTAAAACAGACCTACACTTCTCCAGCTCCTGAATCTGTTCCTGCTGCAGATCCACTTCTTGGTTCCTCTTCTTCAGGTCCAGAGACAGCAGTTCCAAAGCGGCTTTCTGTATTTCCCGTTGCTTCTCTAGTTCCTGGATTTCCCCCCGCAAAGTCTCCACTTCCCCTTCCCTTTCAGATAGGGTCTGCGCCAAGACAGCCAAATTCTCTTGCAGAGCCTTCCCTTGGGCCACCTTCAGCTCACCTTGCTCTTGCAGAGCCTGGGCCCGCTCACGCTCACTCTCTACCTCCTCATTTTTCCTTTTCAGTGCTGAGCGCGCTGTCCTCAGGTCTTCTTCCAGAATACCGGCAGCACTTGCCTTAGCCCTGGCTTCTGCAATAGATGCTTGCAGATGTTCCACCTGTGCTGTCAGGTTCTCCTTGGCTGCCTGAAGTAACTCTCGCTCACTCTGGAAAACAAAATGCAAACCACCTTACACTACACTTCCCTGATACTGTCACTCCAACCCTGGCCTTTCTCTTCCCTTTTTGTGGCATTAGCAGAAACAAGGACTTGAGCAAAAAAGTGGTATATTCCACTTAAGCCGATACTGTGAAAGAGCATCCTTACCACCTCCCAGGGCTCTGCTATGTCCAGGGAAGACAGCCTGGTACAAATGAGTCAATCCAGGCTTAGGTCTTTCAAGCCTAGGAGCAACAATCTCAAACTCAATTCAGAAAAAGGAACTGAAGGAGGATTCACTGGAACCTTGGCAATGGCCATCAGGGACATGGAGACAGCCAGAGGAACTGAGAGACTTGCTGAAGGAAGTTGGGCACGTGACCAGAGGCCAAGGTGAGCCCAAGGGACTAGTCCTGAGGCCAACCCCTCCCCAAACAGTACCACTTTACCTGGGCTTCCATTCCCTGTAGCTCTGCTTGCCGTAATCGACTCTGTAAGGATGTCACAGCTTCATGCAATTCCATCAGCTCAGATTCCAGGGAATTCTGTTTTTCTTCCCACTTGGATTTCTCTTTAGGAAGAGGAGAGATGGTGGAATAAGGCCCATGGTTGGGGGTGGGGGAAAAGAGGGATGCAGAGGCAGATGGAGGATAAGGAACAGAATCAAAGGGGAAGAAGGCCAAGGAGGAGAGGGTTACATGCAGCGTCCTAGAGATATCACCTGTCTACCAGTTGCTCCTATTTGTGCAGGCTCCCCGCTGTGGCCAGCCCCAGCACAACCTGTTAATCATTCTAACACTTCCTCATCCTCGTAACAGAGAAAGTCTCAGTCTTGGATTCCAGACAAGGTTGACCCAGATGACACTGGAGGCCCCTTCCAGCCCCCAAGCCTATGATTTTGCAGAGGTTCCTAGAGACTCGGGTGGCCCTGCTGGTTGTCCCTCATTTCTACAACACGCACCAGAACCCAGCTTTATTTGTGTGGTCCTCGGGGAGCCCTCAAGTGGCTGCAAAAAGGCCCAGACTCACTCCCCAAGTCGTCCTCTTCTCTTCCCCCTCCTTCCCATTCTAAGCAGTTCCCACTCTTTCCAGCCCTTGGCTGTGGTACAGATATGTTTTTCCCAGATTCCCCCTCCTTGCTTTCTCCCAAATAAGCTCATAATCCTTTTGCCATCAAAAGCTAATTTTGAACATAGTTGGAGATGATAAAAATAAGTAATATGGCCTTGCTAGACTCTGGAATGGCCATGTGCTCTTTGAGCTATGGCTGTTGCCATGCTTCCTAGCTTTGGCCTACCTTGAGGAGATAAATCTCCTCTTCTTCTCTCTCTCTTTCTCTAATTTACTTTTAAATAAACTATATTCTCTAATTAAAAAAAAAACAAGTAACATGCTGGGGGCGGTGGCTCATGCCTATAATCCCAGCACTTTGGGAGATGGAGGTGAGAGGATTGCCTGAGCAAGTCCATAGATTCAAGACTAGCCTGGGCAACATGGAGAGACATCATCTCTACAATAAATCAAAAAAAGTAGCTGGGCATGGTGGCACACACCTGTAGTTCCAGCTACTTGGAAGGGTGAAGCAGAAGAATTACCTGAACCCAGCAGGTTGAGGCTGTGGTAGCCATGAGTGTGCCACTGCATTCCAGCCTGGGAGACAGAGTGAGACTCTGACTCAAAAAAATAAAAAAAGTAAAATGGATAAATGACAAAAGACACAGAGCTCTCAGAGTCTTGACCCTTGGTCTCCAGTTTGTTTGTTCGTTTTAAATATCCTGCACTGACAGAAAAAGGAAGCCTGACCACCTCCTTCTCTTAGCTCACCAAATCTGTTCCTCCTAATTGCTTCTTCCAGGATGGCCCCCAAAGGCTGAACAAAGCAGAACAATAGCTCAAGGCAGTCATCACCCTTTGGAGATACCTCTAGACACCATCTCATAGTCTGGATAAACAATAAAGAGAGTGGCTGCTGGACTGAGGTCCCATTGTTTCACCTAGGGTCCTGTGATGCCAGCTGACGTGCACAGTGCTCTGTCCCTGGACAGGGCCATGGAGGGAAGGGGAGGCAGGCTGGAGGCTGCAAGTGAACTGTGGGGCATGTGGCCAGCACTGTGCACCTCTGGTAAGGCCCCTGCAGGCCAGCGCATGTCTTGGGAGGACACAATGGGAGGAGGCGTGACCTGTGGCAGGAGCAGCATCTAGCCAGGCCATACTCCTGGTCTATCAGCTTCCATCTAGCACTGTTCCAGTCACTGGCCACTCCACTGTCTGAGAACCCACAATCTGCATTGTACTGTGGGGTGCCCAGGATTTGTTGCAGATGTGGAAACTGAGGCAGCCCCCATCACCTGGCTCTGCCCCAGGCCCTCTTGAGTGCAACTGAGCCTTGGCTGCTGACCTTGGGCCCTTGCTAACCTCTGGGTGCCTGAAGCTCTCACCTGAGCTCAGGAGAGCCTGGAGCTCAGACAGGCCTCCTCAGCATCTGGAGACCAATGAGAGGTGGAAGGTTGCTCCAGCCCATGGTCTGTGGACAGGGCACAGGTGTATGTCGATGGGTGTGTACAGTGAGGGGGTGCTGTGATTTGTGTCCCCTCCAGGTGTTGGAGCCTACAATCCGGCAAAGGTGCTAGGGGTGGGGCCTATGGGAGGGGATGAAGCTGGAGGCGCCTTTCTTGTGGAGGGATTGGCACCCATATAGAAGGGCCCGTGCCATGTCCACTCTTGCCCAGCTGTCTCCCACCCTGTAAGGACACGGCAGCCATCCCCTCCCAAAGTAGCAACAGCGAGGTGCCATCTTGGAAGTAGAGAGTGGTCCTCCCCAGATACCGCACCTGCCTACGTCTTGAACTTGGATTTCCAGACCCCAGAACAGTGAGATATAAATTTCTGTTCTTTAACCTTAAAAAAAAGAGTGGCTGCCAGGCCTATCCTCGCCACTTCTGGGCTTCCTACCTATCCTCTCTCTTCCCTCCAAATCTCCCGGTCTGCCTTGAGTTTCTCACCTTCTTGGTTCTGGGACAGCTGTCTCTGCAGATCCTGCAACTCTGTGCTGACCTGGCTCTTCTCCGTCTCAGTATCAGCTAGTTGCTGTTCCAGTTTTTGGACCTGATCCCTCAGATCATCCTGGGAAAGGAAGGGCATGGCTAAACTCAAGTTTCTTGTCTTCCACAAAGTTATCTCAGCCAGGGCTTAAGTTCTCAGCCTCTGTAGTGGTCTGCCATTGTGGACCTAATCCCAGACTCCTGGGTTATCTGCCTCTGAACTCACATGCATTTCCTTCTCTGAGGTGATAGGCTCCAATTGGCTGGAGCCAAGAATCTCTTCTGACTTGTCTATGTCTTTTGAAACAGAACACCTGCTCAAAGTCTTAGCCCAGAGGTCACCTCTTCCCTCCACAAACTCCTACTTTAAAGTTTAGTACAAAGGTCACCCCTTCTTCTTCCTGCACCTTTCCTCTAGTTCTAACAGTGCATCATTTGCACCAGTTATTGATCCAATTAATTCTGCTGGTTCTGCTATGAGAACCTTCACAGAGATCAGGTCTTTCTCCTTTCTGTATCCCAGCTCAAAGTGGCTGGTTATATGTGGCATTTAATTTGTACTGATTGATAGGATCACTGCAAGGAGGAATTTGTGCAACCTTTAGTTTAGTCTTGAGCCTAGAATGTTCCTATAAATGGCAACCTGAAATTTCAGTGGTCTCCAATTTGTCAAGTTTCTCTTGGAGACCTTGCTACCAAGAATCAATCCATGGTTAGGAGGAAAGTGATGCAAAATAATGCTGCACATCTGTACAGGGTTTGATAGTTACAGGGTTTGTTCAATACCCTCACTCATCTAACCCTCACCACACCCTGTGAGGCAGGCACTAACTGCCCTACTTTGCAAGTGAAGGCAAGGCCAGGAAATCCATATGCTTTATTCATAGATGCCAGGTGGTAAGTGATAGAGGTGAAACTCATCCCATCTTAATCTCAGGTCCAAATGCCTCATGCATCTTTGTCTCAAGCTTTTCGAGGGAGTGAAGAGTTCAGAGAAGGAGAGCAAAAAAACATACCCGAGTCTGTTGAGTCTTCCACAGGTCTTCATGAAGCTTGTGGAGGGCAGATGCTACCTCTTCGGCTGAGAGAGCAGTCAGCAGGGGCTCTCTCTTAAAAAGGCTCCTTGTTCCATTCTGGTCTGAAAAAATGAAGAAAAACCTCACCTGGCTGCCACTATGAAAAATAACAGGCAGACCCTCCCAGATAGCCTTGGCCTTCCTTCCCACTGGTGCCTCCTCTCAAGAACCCTTCTCAGCAGTTCACTCACCATAAATTGTCTGCATAACTATGTGCCAGGCACTATGGTAGATATTTAGATAATGCTAGTTACAGTTTGTCATGCACCTAGTAAGTGCCAAGAACGGTGTGAACAAGTTGCATCTGCAATCTCATTAAGTCCATAGTAAAATCCTCAGATAGGTACTTTTTTTTTTTTTTTTTTGAG